CCATATAACAAATTCCTCAATGTCTGACACTTCAAATGTTAAGAACAGAGAGTAAATTAAACCCCTGCACATTACTGGTAGGAGCATAAATTCAAGACAATAACTTTGGAGAGCTAGTTATTATTTTCTAGAAAATTTGAAAATGCATATATCCTGCATTTTATTTCTAGCCCATTCTCTCAGAAACTCTTCTGTATATGGCCTAATAGATACATAGAATATTCATTGTGCCGCCGAGCGCGGTGGCTCATGCCTATAATCCTAGCACTTTGGGAGGCCGAGGCGGGTGGATCACGAGGTCAAGAGATCGAGACCATCCTGGTCAACAGATCAAGACCATCCTGGTCAACAAGGTGAAACCTCATCTCTACTAAAAATACAAAAATTAGCTGGGCATGATGGTGCGTGCCTGTAGTCCCAGCTACTCGGGAGGCTGAGGCAGGAGAATTGCTTGAACCCAGGAGGCAGAGGTTGCAGTGAGCTGAGATTGTGCCATTGCACTCCAGTCTGGGCAACAACAGCGAAACTCCGTCTCAAAAAAAAAAAAAGAATATTCATTGTGCATTGTTTATAAGAGGACTCATTGGAAATAGACTAAATGTTCATTAAGAGCATAATCATGGTATGTTTATGCAATGGAATAGTATGCAGCAATGGAAAGGAATAAGCCAGATCCACATGTATTAATATGGGTAAGTCTCACATACCTAATAAGAATGAACACAAAGCAAGTTGCAGAGAAATACATATATTATGAATAGGTTTTGCATAAAGTTTAAAACACACAAAACAACAATAAATATGACTAAGAATGCATACATATGTAGAAGAATATGAAGAAATGTATAATAGTAATAAACACCAAACTCAGGGCAGCAGTTGCCTCTGAAGAGAAGGCTGAAAATATAAATAGAAAGGAGGGCCCAGGAACTGAACTCGTATTGTTTATTTCTTAAACTGGAGATGAGGACATGGTTATTCACTGTATTACTCCTTGTACCTTTTAGAAGGTCTCACCTTGTCTTCTAGCCAGCTTAATACCTCCAAGTACTTCTAATGGAGTGAATCCCAGCAATGGAATTGAGTTCAGCTAGGCAGAAGGTGTGGTATGATAGACAGCTGAAGTCCACCAGTATTTCTGGAGGCTGAGAAGGGGAGGACTTGGCAAATGTGGTGTTTTCAAATCCATAGGAGGGGAGAGTTCCAAAAAGCCTTGTATAGCAGGCAGCTTCTGAAGTGGCTCCAAACAATGTCCACCTCCTGGTATGCACATCCTCATGTAATCCCCTTCCACTGAGCATGGGATGGACCCAGTCACTTGATTCTAACAAACAGAATACGGTAAAGGATGGGATGTCCTTTCCTAGCTTAGGTTACAAAAACATGTGAATTCTATCTTGCCCAAACTCTCTTTTTCTGGCTCATCTTACTGGCTTGCTGTGATGAAGCAAGCTGCCATGTTGTGAGCTGTCTGATGGAGAGACCCACATGACAATAAACTGAGGGCGGCTGCTAGCCAACAACAGATGATGAACTGAGGTCTTCGTCCAACAACCCTTGAGGGACTGAAGCCTGTCAACAATAACGTGAATAAGCATGAAACTGGAGACTTCTCAGTCAAGCTTTCAGATGAGACCACAGCCCCAGCCAACACCTTGATTGTAGCAAGTTGTGCAATCTGCATGCCATGGTTTCAACCTACAGAAACTATGAGGTAATAAGTGTTGTTGTTATAAGTCATTAAGTTTTGGGGTAATTTGTGGTGCCTCCATTGATAACAAATACAGATTTTGGTAACTGGAAATGGGGGGCTGCTACTAACACCTAAAAATGTGGGAGCAGCTTTGGAATCTTTGGCATGCAGAGGCTGGGAAGATTTTAAGGAGCATATTAGAAAAAGCCTAATTTGCCTGGAACACATTATTAGTAAACATCTTGACTTTGAGGAGGCTGCCAATGAGGCCTAAAAAGGAAACGAGGAAAATATTATTAGAAACTAGAGGAAGGATGGGTGTGTGCTTGTTGTATAGTGACAGAAAGCTTAGTGACATGTCAACCTGAGATTATGTGGAAGCCAGAATATGTGGCTAATGAACTAGGTGATCTAGTTAAGAAGATTTTCAAGTGAAGTATTGAAGGGGTCTCCTGGTTTCTTCTTGCTGCTTATAGTAAATTGCAAGAGGAGAAAGATAAATCCAAGGAAGGACTATTGAAACTATTCAACAAAAAGGAGCCAGGACTTCATGATTTTAAAAGTTTCCAGTCTCTCTAGATGGCAAACTATATGAAAGTTAAGAAATGGCTCCTTGGCTGAGTGCAGTGGCTCACACCCACGATCCCAATAATTGGGGAAGCTGAAGCAGGAGGGTTGCTTGAGCCCAGATGTTCAAGAGCAGCCTTGGCAACATAGTGAGACCCCTGTTTCTACAAAAAAAAAAAAAATTAGTTGGGTATGGTGGTGCACACCTGTAGTCCCAGCTACTATGGAGGTTAAGGTGGGAGGATCACTTGAGCCTGAGAGGCTGAGGTGGCAGTAAGCCAAGACTGTGCCACTGCACTCCAGCCTGGGCAATGGAATAAGAGCCCATCTCTAAAAAAAGAAAAATATTACTTCTGAGCACTGCTGGAAAAACATGGTCTGACAAGAAAATCAAGGCAAGGGTGTGACTACAACTTTCGTTAGGACTTCAGAAAGACCAAAGAATGAGAGTACTCCTCGGTCACATATGGGGTTCTTTCAGGAGAACTAGGGTGTCCCTCCCTGATCCTTTCCAATGAAACAACAGTTCCTCTAGGAAGTCTAAGAGCATAGGCCCCCAGCAGAAGCCCAAGACTTTTAACAAATAGAGTAAACCCTGGTGAGATTCACAGAAGAGGCACCAAGTTTTTGAGAAAATTATATAAGCAGAAATGCTGCCAGCTTGGGCCGAAAGGGACCAGGATGTACAAAATGAAAGAAGTCTGTTGGGTCTCCAACGTTTTACTGGAAGAAAACAGGCTGAGGAAACCATTCGGGTGCAAAGGATTGTTATCTTTTTTTTTTTTTTTTTTTGTTATTTTTTTTGAGACGGAGTTTCGCTCTTGTGACCCGGGCTGGAGTGCAATGGCGCGATCTCGGCTCACCACAACCTCCGTCTCCTGGGTTCAGGCAATTCTCCTGCCTCAGCCTCCTGAGTAGCTGGGATTACAGGCACGCGCCACCATGCCCAGCTAATGTTTTTTGTATTTTTAGTAGAGACGGGGTTTCACCATGTTGACCAGGATGGTCTCGATCTCTTGACCTCGTGATCCACCCGCCTCGGCCTCCCAAAGTGCTGGGATTACAGGCTTGAGCCACCGCGCCCGGCCAGGATTGTTATCTTTCATGATAAAGAACGGATGGCTCAGAGGCTGAGCCGAGAGCCTAAAAGACGCAGCCTAAAGTCACAGAGAATTACTCCTAGGTGTTGAAATCTCATCAAGGAACTCCCAAGATTTTACTCAGCTGAATTTCAAAATTTCTGTGGACCAGTTCTTCCTTGTCTCTCATTTTCCCCTTTTTTTGTTTTTTTTTCCCCCTGTGGTTTTCTTTCTAATTATCTTAAGTCCTATGATCACACATAATTTTAAAATTTGTGTATATCTCCTCTACTTTAATCCTTTTAAGTTGGCAAAAGCACCATTCCCAATCACATATACACAGCAGTTCTACAGTTTTAGGTTTCTGAATGGCTGTTTAAAGACAATCCTAAATTATAACTTAGTTTGACTTAGGTTGTAAATAATTCAAGAGTGAAGTTTGGCTACTATTTTAAAAGCATGTGACCTCATAGATCACCTATAAAATGTGAGAAGTGTAAATAATCTTTGACATTACACATAAACCACACTAAAATGCCTTTCAATAAGTAAAGGGAACCATTTTACATACAGGGAATTCTTATTAGATTGGCATACTTAAGGCCAAAAATATAAAGTAGACATTGCTATTTATCTTTAACCGTCGCCTTTAAGGGACAAATGAAGACAAAACACAGGTGAGTCTTACTTGGTTCTGAGACAGTGAAGGCATGTTCCCAGTATTTAAATATGTTTATGTTGGGAAAAGCAGCAAAGGAGAAAGGACTTACAGAGTGCCTACATAAACTGGTTATGAGTAACACATAAACAAGGAACAACAAACTGCTGAGGGCCACAGGAAGCCTCTGAGGAGGAAGGCCCCTCCATGCCTCATGTTCTGGTGCAGGGTGACCTCGGCTCTATTACGTAAACATTGTGCTCAAGGACGTAAAACCCCTTCGTAGCACTATGACGTAGCCAGACTTGTAGGCTCCTTGTAAGGTTTGCGTTCCATCAGCTGTACATAGATAATAAGCTAAAGATAATCACATGTTCTTGTTTTGTGAAACTCCCAAATCACCACTGTTATCGATCTTTAGAATGATACACCAGTTCCAGCTCACTGATTCACTCCACCACCACTCCACTCCTACCCTGTAGATCAAAGTGATTGTAATCAATAAATAGTGTGGATGATCAGAGCTTGGGGCCTTCATTGCCTCCTCCAGAGTAATAAAGTGATGCCCCCCTGGTCCCACTGTCTCTCTTAATCTGTCTTTTTCTTATTCCTTTGTCACCTCCAAACTCAGGATATTCACAAGTGATGTAGGGCTGGCTCCCCGCATTCTGGAGCCCAATGTGGGGCTCATGGATGCCTACATTCTGGCACCCAGTGTGTGGAGCTCATGGATTCCCTACAATTTACATAACCAGTTATATAAATGTAAATATAAAACTAATCTCCAGTAAGTTTTAAGATGGCACTCACCATCTTTGTGAAAAGTTTCACATTATTAACGAAGTCTAATCATATCTTTAGAAGGAGTAAGCAGTGATAGCATTTCCTAAATTGGAATTACTACGGAATTTCAAACACTGAACATATTCACTTAGCCACAAGCCAGTCTTAGTTTTATATCAGGACTGCCCAACAAAATATTCTGTCAGTCATTCATGATCTGAATTCTGGTGTATGAGATCTATTAAAGTATGGTACACATAAAAAAGTCATGAGACATTTGTTTTGTAATAAATAAGGCAGTGGCCAATTATTACTCATTAGTAGCTTTTTTAAGATAAGCTAACAAGTCTGCCCTTTATCCCTTCTTAATGCCAGCAAAGATCATTTTTGTTCCAGGAATGTGCTTCTTGGGATTCTCCAAATACTCCGTCAGTGTATCCTCTCCTTTGTTCTTACTGGCATCAGTGTAAAAGAATCCAACTGCCTGACCTGTCTTCTGCCCAAAGAGACCATGGAGATTAGGCCCAGTCTTGTGCTTGTCTCCCTTTTCCACAGTGTGGCACTGGGCACACATATGAACAAAAATCTTCTTGCCTTTCTCAACATCAACCACATTTAACTCTTCTTCATCGCTGGCGCAACAAAGGTTACCACTCTGAAGCTGGATATCCCACTCGTTCTCAATTTCTGAACAGGAATCTCTACAGCAGTGATCCTCTCCGTCCCACCACTGCATGTCAGGTGGATTGGTGTGGGCCAGATAGCTTGTCCCTTTGGTTTCATGAATCCACAGATGAAGAGGAAATTTGAAAGCTGGAGATACAGCCCAGGAGCCTCCTTCACGAATGGACCTGATTGAGATGATGGGGAACTGGACTTGAGCAGATGCCGAAATGGAAGGAGAATTTAGGGAAACTTGGGAAGGAGTTAATGCATTTTGCATGTGAGGGAGTTCTGAATTTTTGGGGGCCAGAGGTTGGACTGTGGGAGGCAGCTTTTAAGAGGGCCCTCAATGTCCCCACCTCTGAGTGTTCATAAGTGTGATGTAATTCCCTCTTCTTGAGCTGCTTGACTTAATTGAGCCTTCCTGAAACCAAGGGCACAGACTCGAGGCCCTCTAGACCTGGGCCCTGTGGTTCCATGCATGGCCCTGGAGTTGCAGGTTCCCTGAGAAGGGCGGATGGCAGAGCTGACCGTGACATCTCCACGTGGCTCCTGAGCATCTGCTCTGCTCTGCTTCCCCTCTAGGCTCTTTAATTTTGGTTGCTCAGCCGCTCACCATCATCCTGTGAGGGCATGACCTGATCTGTGCTTAGCCCCACAAGCTCTATTCTCTCCCTGAGACACCTCACACTCTGTGGGGACCCTGGAGAGAAAGGCAGCCTTGGGCTTCTTGGAAGTGCCAGGAAAGGAAAACAATCCAATTGTTTAGGAGCTCCACTTCTCACTGGAGCTGGGATCCTCATCCCCTGGGAAATTCTGGTCCTTAGTCACTGCCGTCCCGGCCAGACCTGCTGCTGCTATACCCAGCATCTTTGCTCACCAGCCTCATCCTAATATGAATGCCGAAGGCACATTTGGGCTGTGCCAGGACCCGGGGTGATTGACAGCTGGAGTTCCTAGTGGGGCTCATTAAGGGAAGCTGGGTGGGGCCTAGGGGAGCTCATTCTCCTCTGCCAGTCCCAGACCCAGGGATTGAGCTGGGACGGGGCAGGAGAGGGGGTCAGAGCATCCAAGCTGGATGTCCTCTGCAGCCTGGCAGCTTGAGGCCCCAGCTGTGCCCACTGTCAAGGGCCAGGCTCTGCTCCTGAAAGCCCAACAGCCAGCTGGAATATTCATAAGTGCCAAAACCTCCCACCCCTGGGCCTTTGGGCTTCCTTAGACCCCATGGAACATGCCTTTCATGGCCTTTCCTTCTAGAGATACCACAAGTGACTACGCCCCCTCCCAACACTTCCTCCTCCCTGTCCATGTCCCTGCTTCCCATGATTTCCCAGTCTTGCAATACACGGGCCTGCCTGTCATTTTGGTTTGTTTAATCTCCAAAGAATTACTTATAATATGTAACATTATAAAAGAAGTAAGCTTCTCTGTCTAACAAGGGCTACTGGAGAGACTTCTGTTTATACTCTTTTTTCTTGTTTAAATATTTTTATGTCTTTTTAGTTCCTTTCAAAATCAGGAAAAGCAAGAGATATTTCCTTTTTGGAAGAAGAAAAAGCCCATTATTTCCCATCTTGGTGGTAAAGAGCAAGGACTCTGCAACCAGGGTGCTTGTATTGAATCCCTATCCTGGGTGACCTTGGGCAAGTCACTTAACCTCTCTGTGCCTTAGCGTTCTCATGTGTGAAATGGAGTTAATAATTCCTTCCTCAGAAGGTTGTGAGGATTAAATGGATTAGTGTATATAAAATGCTTACTGATACATAGTAAATCTTTTTTTTTTTTTTTTCCTGAGACAGAGTCTCACTCTCTTGCTCAGGCTGGAGTGCAGTGGTGTGATCTTGGCTCACTGCAACCTCTGTCTCTTGGGTTCAAGAGATTCTCCTGCCTCAGGCTCCCAAGTAGCTGGGATTATAGGCATGTGCCACCATGCCCTGCTAATTTTTGTATTTTTAGTAGAGATGGGGTTTCATAGTGTTGGCCAGACAGTCTTTAACTCCTGACCTTGTCATCTGCCCGCCCCAGCCTCCCAAAGTGCTGGGATTACAGGCGTGAGCCACCACGACTGGCTGATACATACTAAATCTTAAATAAATATTTGTTAAATAAAATTTAAAACTCAGCTGCTTGGAAAAGAAGGCCACTGAGTCACAGGGTCCAGTGGCTCTCATCTCAGCCCCTGTTTCCATCTCTTCCTACTAATTTCTGACCTCAGAGTCCAGATGTGAGAATTTGAGCTGGTTTCAGTTTCTACTCCAAGCTATCGGCCCAGGACACTGCCCAACTCCGAGGCTCCTGGCAGGTCCTGTGCACTTTCAGCCACCTGTGTCCTTTGCCTGTAAGCCCAATCCTGAGGACAAGCAGAGCCTGTGGACAGGCCATGCACACCCCAGCTGTCCTCCCTAAGCCTGAGATGGGACCAGAGATAATAGGTTCCACAAGCCGGATTCATACCTGGTGGTCACAACACCAGCTGTGGCTGGCTATTCTGTCTGTGTGGAACAGCCCTGTCCCCCTCCCCAGGAAGGACCAGGGCATAGCTTGGGGTACCATTAAAAAGCAAATTCATTTGGGAGGCTGAGGCAGGCACATCACAGGGTCAAGAGATCCAGACCATCCTGGCCAACATGGTGAAACCCCGTCTCTTCTAAAAATACAAAAATTAGCTGGGCGTGGTGGCACGTGCCTGTAGTCCCAGCTACTTGGGAGGCTGAGGCAGGAGAATCGCTTGAACCCAGAAAGTGGAGGTTGCAGTGAGCCAAGATCGCGCCACTGCACTCCAGCCTGGTGATAGAGTGAAACTCCATCTCAAAAAAAAAAAAGCAAATTCATAAAGACAGATAGTATAGGTTACCAGGGGGAGAGGGGAGAGAATAACAGGGAGTTTTTTTTTTTTTAATTTCAAATTGAATATTTTATTAACATGGTAGTTGTCTTTGTAACATGTGCACACACACTCGCACACTCAGAAGGATCTGCCTGGGGGAAAAATACTAAATATGCCTAAGGGGAAAATGAAAAATAAAAAAATTCTTGTAGGTTTTCATTATTGTAAGCAATTATGTCCACATCATTTACAAAGCTATTGCCAAATCTGTCCAAGGAAGCAGAGTTTGAAAGGGGGGCGAGGGGCAAGAATCTTGGGAAAAATTCAACAGCGGCATAGCAGAGCTCTCAATATGAGAAAGCTGATGTAATGTGGACTTTTGCTGTGAATTTCCTCTTCGCAAAATATGGGGAGAGGTTTATCAATGGGCAGAAAATAAGAGAAGGTGGTGTGAAGTAGGCTTTTGTAGTCAATTTTCCTCACGGTATTGTGCAGGATCATCAAGAAAATGCTTAGTCTTTCTCTGGGACTAGTTTCAGAACTTTTCCAATTGCAATTGTCTTACCCTCATCTTTTAAGGTAAAACGACCCATCTGAGGGAAGTCTTTAAAGGTCTCAAGGCAGATGGTTCCTGCTGTCCTCAAGTGAGCAATGCATACTTGATCTTGTTTCACAAAACGGTATCGGGTCTTACTTTTTTCTCCTGATTTTGTCTACCAAGCAGATTAAGGCTGTTATTTTGACTTCCTCAATACAGGTATGAATATGCAGCGACGCATTATAGCCTGGGCAGATGGAGTTATTTTTTAATGGGTAGAGTTTCTATTTGAGATGTTGAAAAGGTTCTGGAAATGGATAGTGATGGCAGCATAATACTGTAATGCTACTAAATCGAACACTTAAAATGGTTAAAATGGCCGGACGAAGGGGCCCACACCTGTAATCCCAGCACTTTGGGAAGTCAAAGTGGGTGGATCACCTGAGGTCAGGAGTTCAAGACCAGCGTGACCAACCTGGTGAAACTCTGTCTCTACTAAATGCAAAAAGTAGCTGGGTGTGGTGGCGCACCCCTGTAATTCCCCACTACTTGGGAGGGTGAGGCAGGATAATTGCTTGAACTAGGGAGGTAGAGGTTGCAGTGAGCTGAGATTGCACCACTGTACTCCAGCCTGGGCTACAAGAGTGAAACTCCGTCTTAAAGAAGTAAATAAAAAGAAATAAATATGGTTAAAATGGTCAGTTTTATGTTATGTATAGAAACATACATCTATACATATATACACTTTTCTCTAGTACATATAGATCATTCTCCAGGGTACACCATCTGTTGGTCCACAAAAGAAGTCTTAACAAATTTTGAAAGACTGAATTATCATACAGCATATCTTTTCTGAATACAATGAAAAAGGTAGGAATGAATCATAGAAAGAAAACTGAAAAAGTCACAAATGTGTGGAAACTAAACTTACTGTTAACCAATGGTTGTTTAAGAAGAAATCACTTGGGAGTTTCTCTGAACGTGTTCTGGTTCGGGGGGTGCCCAGAAAAAAAAATAAGAAGAAATCTCAAGGGAAATTTAAAAATTTAGAGATGGATGAAAAATACAAAAACAGGCTGGGTGCAGTGGTTCACACCTGTAATCCCAGCACTTTGGGAGGCCAAGGCAGTGAAATGCTTGAGCTCAGGTGTGCAAGAGCAGCCTGGGAAACATGGTGAAACCGCATCTCTACCAAAATTACAAAAAATTAGCTGGGTATGGTGGCGCACGCCTGCAGAGCCAGCTACTCAGGAGGCTGAAGTAGAAAGATTGCTTGAGCCTGAAAGGCGGAATTTCCAGTGAACCAAGATAGGGCCACTGCGCTCCAGCCTGGGCAAGAGAATGAGACCCTGTCTCAAAAAAAAAAAAAAATTGAAACTTATGAAATGCAGTGTTTTAAGAGAAATTTATAACAGTAAATGACCTCATTAAAAAAGAAGAAGACCTCATTTAAAAATAATCTCAAAGGCCGGGCGCGGTGGCTCAAGCCTGTAATCCCAGCACTGTGGGAGGCCGAGGCGGGTGGATCACGAGGTCAAGAGATCGAGACCATCCTGGTCAACATGGTG